CCGGATGCGGGGCTCGATCCCAGGACCCTGGGATCATGACCTGAGCTGAAGGCAGACGCTTAGCGACTGAGCCACCCAGGCACCCCTAACCCAGCCATTTTAAACCAGATGTATCTGGAGTGAAAATTCAGCAGATTTTTAAACAGGGTCATGCTGATCTTAGTGATTCACAAATATTCCCTTGGTGGATAAGTAATTAATGGAGACTGGTCCTTCAGCTTAATGACATTATACTTTAGGATCCACCAACTCTTTTTATTCTGACTTTGCTCATTAAGCCACCTTCTGTTCTTAATTTGGTTTCCCAGGGAGGTTTTTCTTTTGGTGAAAAGATATTCTGAGAAGCCATTAGGAATATTCTGATCTACTGGCTTTCATTCATTTATCCTTTAAAAAAAAAAACAAACCGCTTTTCTTTCTAAATCCAGTTCCTACAGGACTGAGTTTTTAAAAACATAATCACTGACATCATTAAGATATGGAATCAGAAAGAAAAAAAAAATGCAGCTTTCCTCTCAAAGCCCTTAGCGTCATCTCAGAAGGCCACCTTGCTTTACTCCTACATTTGACACTGGCCAAAACACGTCATCACGAGGTTGTTTCCTACCTGAAGTGCTTTAGTGCGATCAGATCTTCTGAGCGGCACAGGTGCTGTAGGCGGTGGTGGCGGAGGCAGAGGAGGAGGTGGGGGCGGTGGTGGAGGAGGCGCAGCTGGAAGGTGGCTGGCTGGCTGTGGCAGAGTGGGAGGAAGTACAGCCCGCGATTCTCCAGGGGTGGTTAGCACACAGGCAGGCACATCTGTAAATGTTTGGCCACAGCTTGGGCAGGAAGATTTTTCCAAGACAGTCTGTAAGAAAACATTACCTTTAGCAAACGAACAGCAGACTAATTTGGTTCTTGTGGCTCAGAGGCATCGAGATAATAGCTACCATGTATTGAATGCTTTCTCAGTATACTACGTGTTTTTTAATATTTTCTCATTTATCGCAAGCCCATTCACTCACTCATTCGTCCGCTCGCATATTTGTGTGTGCAGTATGCCAGGCACTGTGGGTACAGTGTGCACCCTGTCTGTGACATCATGGAGCTGACAGTGTGGTAAGGAAGGCAGACATTAAACACACACACACCCAGAACAAAACAAAATAACGCTTCGGTGCAAACAATGAAGTGTGCTGTGGGCATGAATAGTGAGAAACCTGGAGAGAGATATTTAGCCATAATCTCAAGGATGAATTGCAATTTGTCAGGTCTCAAGGGAGATAAGGTCTGGGGAAAGAGAGTCCCCCCCCTCCCTCCCCAAATTCATATGTTGAAGCCCTAACCCTAGTCCCTCAGGATGCCTTTGGAGATAGGGCCTTTAAAGAGGTGATTAAGTTAGAACGAGGCCGTTAGAGTGGGCTGTCATCCAATTTGACTGGTGTCCTTACAAAAAGAAGAAATTTGAACATACAGGAGAAACATCAGGGATGTGTGTGTAGAGACAAGACCATCTGAGGACACAGTGAGAAGGCAAGCCGAAGGAGAGAGGCCTAAGAAGAAACTAACTCTGCCAACACCTGGATCTTAGACTTTTAGCCTCTAGAACTGTGGGAAAATAAATTTCTGCTATATAAGCCACCCAGTCCATGCCACTTTGTTATGGCAGCCCTGGGAAATGAAAAATAACCCTACGGAATAAGATGGTGTATTAGTTTCCTATGGCTTCTTTATCAAATTATCACAAATTTGGTGGCTTAAAACAATTGAAATTCATTTTTTCACAGTGCTGGAGGCTAGAAGTCTAAAATCAAGATGACAGCAGGGCTGTGCTACCTCCCAAGCGTCTAGGGAAGAATCTGTTCCCTGCCTCTTCCTGTTTTTGGTAGCTATGGTCATTCCTGAGCTTGAGACTACATCACTCCAATCTCTGCTTGTGCTCCCACTGCTCCTCCTCTCCTCTGTGTGTGCTCTGCTCTCTCTCTTATAAGGACATTTGTCATTGGATTTAGGGTCCACTCAGATAATAGAGTATGATCTCCTCATTTCAAAATCCTTAACTTAAGGGGCACCTGGCAACTCTTGATCTCACGGTCATGAATTCAAGCCCCATGCTGGGTGTAGAGATTACTTAAAATAAAAAATCCTTAACTTAATTACATGGGCAAAGACCCTTTCCCCAAATAAGGTCATATTTATAGGTTTCAGGGATTAGGACTTGGACATATCTTTTGGAGGCCATTGATTCAGCCCACCAAAGATGATATCATCCTCATTTTTAGAAGAGGAAACTCAGGCCTAGATGAGTGAGGTGATTTGCCTCTCTTCCTGTCTGATTCATCTTGAGGTACATATTCTGGGACAAGGGTGTAATCCCAGAAGCTTCACTGCAAACCAACAAGGGCAATGTTTATTTTTTTTGAGTTTTAGACATTGAGAATAGGGGCCTTGCTTAGGGGAGTTTGGAGACAATGGATATTTATGGCTTTTCTGCCTCTATCAGTCAAGAAAATAGAAATCATCCTGAGTCTTTATTTATTTATTTATTTATTTTTTAAGATTTTATTTATTTATTT